CTTTGCTGTGACTCAGGTGATTATCATATCACGATCTGCAGTTTGAGGCTTGGGAGTAGCTACATGTACAGCCAGGGCCATGATCAATATTAGTAACAGAAGGTTTGCGCTCCCTGCCCACAATTGAAGCTGCCTTTGCTTTCTGCAATGCAGATCAGTATGTACGAAGATCAGTGCACACAGATCTGCTTCAGGCATTCCACAGGTCCTGTGTTATATCCACAGACTTTGGGGGGGGGAATGAGGAGCTCAGTGTCACATTTAAACATAGGATAAAATCAACAGTGAGGCCGTAGGAAGATGATTTCAAGGATGAAGATTCCCAGAGTTCTCTAAATGACAGTGTTCTTTACGTAAGAAGGCAGGCAGGTTCTGGTACTGAAGATGTTTGAAATGTGCTTTACATTTCATTGGCATTTGCATTGCTATGGAATTTTGGGATCTTAGCGTTTTGGTCCCTGACTTTTGTGTCTAATATGAGCTATTGTTTGCTTGGACAAATGTGCACATGCCTTCCAGGAACCTGATGCTCCCTCTGTTAATACAGGCTCTCCTCTGTTCTCTCCCCTTCCAGTGCTACACACACAGGGCCCTGTTGACGGCAGCCTTTACGCCAAGGTGAGGAAGAAGAGCACCTCAGACCCTGGAACCTCAGGTGGGCCCTTGGCTGCCCCAGCTGCCAACAGCCCAGACCACGGTGACCATACCCTGTCAGTGAGCAGTGACTCAGGCCACTCCACTGCCTCAGTCAAGACGGACAGGACCGAAGAACGCCTGACTCCTGGACCCAAGAGGGTCCTGAGTCCCCAGGAGAAGGCTGAGTTGGACCAGCTGCTCAGTGGCTTTGGCCTAGAAGATTCTGGAAGTCCCCATAAGGATATGACTGATGCTCCCAGAAAGTATAGCGGGACTCGCCACATAGTGCCAGCACAGGTCCATGTGAACGGAGACGCCACGCCGAAGGACCGTGAGACGGACATCCTGGATGACGAGATGCCCAGCCATGACCTGCACAGCGTGGACAGCATCGGGACCTTGTCCTCCTCAGAGGGACACCAGTCAGCCCATCTGGGCCCCTTGACTTGCCACAAAAGTAGTCAGAACTCCCTCCTGTCTGAAGGATTTGGCAGCAATGGCGGTGAAGATCCTCATGGGGCCCTTGCCCCAGACTTGGGCCTGGGTGTGGAGCCCCTGTTTGAGCGGGAGCGGGCTTTAGGGAGCCGTGAGCCCAAACAGCCCCATCCAGCACTAAGGAAGCCCTCCGTGTCCTCCCAGACACAGGCCTATGGACAGAGCAACTACTCCACACAGACCTGGGTGCGCCAGCAACAGATGGTGGCAGCCCACCAGTACAACTTTGCCCCAGAAGGGGAGGTCAGACTCGTCAGTCGAGGCACTGCGGACCTCTCTGGCCTGGCGCATACCCAGCTCAGGGTCCTGGCTCCCCTCCCTCAGGGGACCAACAGCAAGGTGACTATTTCGAGGGGTGTTGGCCCTGGGTCACATCCCCCTGACACACAGCGACCCCCTCCTACCAAATCATGCAAACCCAGGCTTCCAGATGTAAAAGTAGTGAATGGGACTGGCTTGGAAATGAACTCAGATCACTCACCAGACTCTCCCACCCTGGACATCGACCAGTCCATCGAGCAGCTCAACAGGCTCATCTTGGAACTGGACCCCACCTTCGAGCCCATCCCCACCCACATGAATACCCCAGGCAGCCTGACCCACGGAACTGCGCTCCCTGACAGCATGGGAGCTGGGCTCCAGCTAAGCAGCCATTTGCAGGACGTAGGGGAGGACTCTGGCAGGACTCCCCCTCGGCAAGGTGAGCTGATGTTCCTCAGGATACTGACATTTGTGGTCTCAGTATCCTGATGCTCCCAGAAAGTATAGCGGGACTCGCCATATAGTGCCAGCACAGGTCCATGTGAACGGAGACGCCACGCCGAAGGACCGTGAGACGGTCCTCCATCCACTACACCATCCTCTGCCATACTGCTTTTATATGCTCAGTCTCTTGGCTCACAAGTGACCACTTATAATGCCACATTCTAGGTGTCCACTGTCAGGCATGTGTGCCCTGAACCCAAGCACCTCCTGCATTCAAGGCTGCAGATGATGGCCACAGAGGCCAGTGGCACAAAAGCCTGAGCAGTCTTCCTTTACCCTCCTATCTCCCACCCCCTTCACCTGGCCTGGACTTAGAGGCGCTCCCTGCTTTTTGCAATCAGACTTCTTGCTCAGGTTGAGCCTGCCAAGAGAAACCTGAGCTGTAGGTCTCGATCCTGCTGAGCTGTGCCTACGTTGGTCTTGTGACTTTGGCTAAAGGTCAAGGTAGATTTCTGATCACTCTCTCTGTTACTAGAAACCCTATCACTATGCCCAGCTGGCGGCAGCGTTCAGGAAATGCTGGCCCTCATGCATCCGTCCTGTACCTGGGTGGGGCATGAGCAGATGCGAGACACCTCAGCTTTCCTGGGCATTTCCCAGCAACCTTCAGGGGGAGTAGGAGCAAGCTGGAGAATCTCCTGTGAGTAGAGAATAGACTCTATCAAGTGCAGTAGCTCAGCAAGGGTCAAAGCTACAAGCAAATAGCAGAAGGTCCAGATCAAAGGGCTTGCATGTGTGCGCTCATTTAATTAAATACATTCAGAAGATTCTGAGCTTGAAAAAGGCTTCTGAAGGAATAAAACTGTCTATCTTGCCTTGCCAAGTCTACTTAAGTTATTTCAAAAAGCTAATCTAAAATCAGAAGTCTTTTCTCCTTTGAAATTTGGAAGCTGTTAGAAGCATTCAAGTGTTTATGGGGAGGAGGATTTCAAGCTCAGGGTATTGGCCTTTTGGAGTTAACGTTTTCCGGTTGACAGAAGCCAGTGCTTAGTGATCCCAGGTCCTGTTTTAAAGAGTCCAGGATTTAGAGTTACACATTTTCTCTTCCACCCTCATCCTGTCACATTTAAATTATTTGAACTCACCACTTTTATTACTGATTTTGATTTTAGATTCTCCAGTTGCGTTTATCATGAGACTAATTCTTTGACACTTCTTAAATGAAAGGACTTGAGTACTTCAACAAAACACTAGTTAATTTTGGTACATGTCATGTTATTAATCATACAAAGATACAGTACTTAATCCATACACTTTTGACAGGGATGCTAGAGCATTTGTTGTTTTAATATTTTAGAAATTTAGTGATGTCAGGAAATAAGATATAAGCAGAGTGAACACTAATCTTCAGAGATTTTCTGGACCTTGGTAATGACCTCCTGTAGGAAGCCTGTTAAACCAGCTGTAAGTAAGCAGTGATGAGCAACTGCTTCAGAAAGGTGCCTGATCTTGGGGCTGAGGCAGAGCAAACCAGGTCTTTCCACCTCAGAGTAAGGCTCTCAGTTCCAGGGCGAGCTTCGTGCTTTAGGTAAGCACCAAGCTGGGAAATGCAGCAGACTTGAGACGTGCACTGATGTGATGCAGGAAGCCAAACAGCATAGAGGCAATCCTCAGAACGGCCCACACTGCGCCTTTGGCTCCCCTTCTGGGACATCTTGTCTTGATAGAAATCCCATTAAATGAATGCTTGTGTCAGTAGCTCTCACTCGAACTGATGGGGAAGGGAATTTCCTTCCCTCCCTGGCAGAGTAGAGAATGCTGGAATCCATTTGATTTTAAAATTTAAATGTCAGTATTTATGTCTCTTGATTGGAAAAGGCTAGATCAGCCAGCAAGAGAAAAGAATCACTAGAAGGCAGGGAAAATCATGAAAATGTGGTGCTGCCAACTGGTACTGAGTGCTGGCACGTCTTCACAAGCGTGGGGATGCTGGAAGCTTGTGCTTTGAAGATGTTCCAGATCTCCAGCACATGCCCATCCCTGAGATGAAGGAGCCAGGTCTGACGAACTGAGCTGGCCACGAGTGGCACTCAGTTCTCCTGTGCTGAGTGGGGAGGCAGGCGAGACAGAAGGCTCATGATGTGCCCAGGACGGCGCCCTCACAGATGCATGACGCCATGTCTCGTCTTGGCCTTGTTGGTGTGAGGCAGCATCTCACCAAGCCGTCCTGAGTGCTGTGCAAGTCCAGCCCATGCTACCTCCTACGTGAGACCCTCCCTACTCTGCACAGTGGCAGTGTCTTAATTCCGACTGTACACAAAGGTTTGTTATAGAGACCTGAGCATCTGGACCCTAGTAAAATCCTTCAGTCTGCACATTTTGGTCTGACGGGGAGAAAGACTATGTAGTGATAGGGAACTGGAAGGGCACCCACAAGCCCTGCCTGGGGCCTGCTGTGTGTTCTGCACAGCTTGCAGGCAGCAGCATACCTACTGTGTGTCTGTTATTTGTGGAATGAAAATTGTATGTGAAGGGTGAACATTTCCTGAGGAAGTCTTCTGATATCAGCACAATAATAATAAGGATGATAGGATGGTGGTGATGCCCTGATGACGGTGATGGTACAGTCATGTCGATGATGTCCTTGCTGGTATTGACAATAAGCACTGACACCGAGCATTGTGTCCCAGGCACTCTGGGCGCCAGCCTGTATCACCTTTGACCTTCCAGTCCATCACGGGGTGTAAGTAGAGCAGTCATCTGAGTACTTGTACATCCCCTGCTTGGGACTTCATTCCACTAGACTCATACCCTGCCACCACCCAGAAAACCCCTCACGGGCAGTGCTTGTGATTATTGTCTGGAATGTGTTATAAATTTATAAGTATTGTAAGCTAAGGGACCTGATGTGTGTGGAATGTAGAGGACTTTCTGAGCACCCACGTGAGGTTCATCACCAGGCAGCTAGGGAGCCCTGCATGGAGGTGGGTTTTCTAATCACATCTATCAACTAGGGAAATTTATTCTTACGTTACCTAAGTAACAACAGCAATGACTCAGTCTGTGAAATCTCTTGATTCCCCCGCTGGCTGGAAGCCAGCTGTTTCTCTCATGCCTCCAGGACTCCGTGTTTCACGTTGTCAAATATTTTACTCCTTTCACTTTGACCAACGACTTGAGCACCTGCAGGCCCCACGTTCTGCATGCAGGTAGAGTTGGTGTGGGCTGCAGGCCTGAGTGTGCTTCCGCAGCCTCAGGCCTCTGCTGTTGCTGCGCATGGTCAGCCCACTTACTACCCTGTGGAAAACCCAGCCAGGAAAGTATCAGTTTTCAGGAGTTGATTGGGGGAGGCCCTTGAATTTCAGTTTTATGTTAATCCAACCAAAGGACATCAGTGTGACAACTAGAGGTACTTAGGGTTCACAAAGCAGTCTGATCGATTCTTTTCACACTTTGATTCCCTGTGAAGAAGCTCTCAGGCCCAGAAGAGGTTTGCAGTGACCCCAGGTCATTCAAGCCAGGCCCAGGTGGATGCTCCTGAACCGTCTGTACAGGTGTGGGGTGCTCAGTGAGAACCTGGCAGTGAGTGAGGCCTGTGTATTTTCTTCCCTCAGGGTTTTTCAAAGTAATGGAATCCTGTGTAGTTACATACCTGACTCTCTTTCAACACTGACCTCTCTCCATCTCCTCTCCCTTCCCTCTTCTCCCATCCCTTCCCATTATTTCTCTTTTTCTTTTTTCTTTTTTTTTTAAGATTTATTTATTTGTGCATACAGAACTGGGGTACAGGCCAGAGATGCATGGGTGGTGAGAGGATTCACCAGAGACAGAGTGGGGAGCAGAAAAGGCAGATGGACGAAGTACACTGCTGAGGGGAGCAGTGGGCGAGCAGGAGAGTTCTGCAGCACCATGTGGGTCAGCTGCGGGGATCGAACTCATGCTGAGGTGGCTTTAGCTTCTTAGTGCTGTGCTTTAACCTGCTGTGCCATCAGGGAGGGCCCTCTTTTTCTTTTTTAAGATTTATTTAGTCATGCATACAAAAACTGGGAAACAGGTCAGAGGTAGGGAGGTTGGGGGTCGATGAGAGGATTCACCAGAGACAGAACAGGGAGCAGAACAGACAGATGGACTGAAATACAATGCTGAGGGGAGCAGTGGCAAGACAGGAGAGGTCTGCTGCACCTCCTCCGCACTCTTCTTCCCTGTTCTCATTCCTCCCATGAAGGGTCCAGAGCACACAGTACTGGAAGGGGCTCACAGGCTGAGGTTAGAATTTCTGGTGTTTGCTATAATCACGGTCCCAAGTCTAATTTAAGTGCAACTTCATTCCTCCTTCTCATGATCCACTGAAATCCCTTGCTGGTCTTAGCTGCTTGGCCAAATCTGTATGCGCTACACTCATTGGGCTAGGTTCTGTGGAGGCAATGGACCCCATTGGTGTCACCACAAAACCTTCAGAAGTGGGTTTTGAATCTGTGGTCTCATGCCAGCCATGCTCAGGATGCAC